TCGGGTGTCAGCCGGGGGCGCTGATCCAGAGAGACAGCGGGTGTCAGCAGGTGAAGGAAGCGATCGGGACACCGGCTGGGGGGCTGGGGGACAAACTGCCCCTGCGATTCCTTCCCACCGGAGCTTGGAATGAGAGCTATGGGGAACAGGCAGCACTGAGGTATGCTATCTCGGTCTGAAAGGTTGGGGTGGGGGGGGGCAGAAATGGCCAAAACTACCTACCCAGCCCCCTTCCCGGAGAGCCCCTGCCCCACTGGTCTAATACAGGTCACCTGTCTGGTAAAGGCTGGGGACGCCAGTGGGGGAGTGATTAATTAAGTACGCCAGGATCTTGTGTAATTAAGGGAGAGCTCATCCGGGACAGCCGAGGCGCGTGCCGATCCTGGCTCCAGAAGATCTCCAGCTGAATTCCGTGTCTCCCGCATGACTGAGCGCGATCACACTGTTCCAAGCCTTTAGAAATTGATGATGAGATGGTGGGATATTCCTGGCCTGGGGGACTGTATTTTTTTGTTGTTTTCGGGCTGCCGGGAATGGAAAAGGAATGATACGACAATACTGAATTGCCTGCATGTCTTCTGGCTCTAACTGGCTTTTGGTTTCAAGCAGAAGGTGTCCAAAAGGATAGCCCTTAAAGAGGTGGCCGGTGCTCTGAGCCAGGGGCAGGGGGTATGGAGAGCCACAGTGTATAGTCTTTATAGGTCAGAAGATCTGATCATGTTAATTTTGCCTAGTTGGGCAATAGATCAACAAGATCACTGGGGGTCCCCAGCACTAGGGATGGACACCAGTCGATTGAATGAGTTGTTACTGTCATTTACAGCCTCCCCAACTGTGATTCCTGTACTACTGTGGTACTTCGTCTCGTCGTTCTTTGTGGTTTCTCATCTGATGGTACTCCCTGCTGGTTAACTAAAAAAAAAAACGATACTGTGGGAGAAGCCTCTTAAGCTGATTTGAGGGACTGTGAAGGGGAAGCTGATTACTGTCGGTCTGTGCTCTCAGACTCATTAAGGAGATGTTTGTGCAGTGCTCATTTTCCTCCAGCTCTGGGAGCTGTTACTAGAGCTGTAGGTGAAAACTGGAGGTAACACAGGTTTGAAAAATGTTTGGGCGATGTTGGTTGGGCAATCCTGTCCACTTGGACCAGTCATTTCTTGGAAGAATTTAGCCATCCAGTCCTATAACATTCCCACCTCTTCTAGAAACCCAACACTCTTTGTGTAAAGAATTGTATCTTCAGGCCTAAATGCAGTTCAGCTCTGAAATCTCTGCTGGTATCTTTGGGTCCTTGTATTTCTGGTGAACTAGTTTGCTGGATTGTGGCAAATTAAGTAGGAATTTGAACAGAAATTCATAAAACGTAAAGCATTCAGTAATAAGGTCACAAATAATGTACCTAATGTCTAGTAACAATGTAACATGAGCACAATCTCCTATTGCAATAAGTCAGAATCATTGTTGCCTTTAATATTTATCATTAATATTTGGTGCAGAGTGATTTTAGTTCTTCACTTTCCTGCTCTGCAATGGCTTCATAGTACCTGCAGTAGACATGGAACAATCGTTTATTATTAACTGCACAATCAATGAAAGCCTTTGCAGGGAAATAAAGCAAAGTTATTAAATCTTTCATTCAGAATGTGTTAGAGAGACAGGGGTACAATATTGTTGGCAGTGTTGATCAATCGCATTGTGCTGATCTGTCTCTTTGCTTCTTGGTTTTGCCCCCAGGCAGTTTTTGGATGGTATGCTATTGGGTGAAGGAGAGAGGACACCGAAGGACCGGAATCTGGACATATCCCAATCGGAACTCCGCTGGTAATGAGAATCTGCAGTCAAACGGTGTATCGGTGAGTCACTCCACTGAAAATAATTAATCTGCAGTGCCCATAAAGCCCTGTGCCAAGTCTGGAGTTCAGCCTTCCAGCACCATCATCAGTACACAGGGCGTTTGCCCTCCAGAGGGGTGTATATGCTAGAATTTGTTTACCAGAGCAAAGCTCTTGGTGAATTGCCTTGTGCTGACCAATCCCAGTAGGTTTCTCGGCTAATGCAACGGCTACCTTTTAATGAAAACAACCTGACAGGCTTTGCACGGGAGAAACCTAATGAACGTGGACAAAGAAGAGAGCTTCCATCCCTTCACGATTTCAGGAACTCCCCTGGCAGGAGCAGGGAAAGC